TTTTAGGCAATCATTAATAGCCAATATAAATTTACATAATAAATTATTATTACCTACAATAGAAAATGATTTATATCAATCTCTAAATAAAATGGAAGTCCAGGAAGAAAATTTAAAGAAAAACGCGAAGATAAAATAAATGATTCCACGAAAAAGGTTAATAAAATTTATATTATTTTAAAAAATTTTTTATGACACCTAGAATTCTTGGACCCTCCACTTTTAAAAAGGTCCGGGTTCGGGTACAGCCAAAATACGAGAGTTCAGGAGGATTCGGGTTCACATCCCTGATTTATTGCCTCATACTTTGACAATTAATATCCACGGCTTTAATAAGTAGATTGGATATAGTAATTGATTACTTAAATTAATTGATGATTTATTACTCAATATTCCACCAGATTATGTAGAGTTACCCTGTAACATGATTGAAACCAATTCAATAATTACTTCTATAGATATTACAAATATTTTAACTATCAAATATAGTTTTGCTCTTAGCCTTAATGGCGAAATTTTAAATTTAATTCCAGGACCTCTCAAACCATATCCAAGCTTTGATTCTATTGTCTCCGATACCTCTGATGATTTTAATATGAAATAGCTTTAAAAAAAGGCTTATGTAATGAAACATGCATGATTGTCAAAGGATTATATAAATATTGGCACAAAAGCTATCGAGTTTTTTTTTTACCTAGGATTGATTTATTTCCTAGCGATATGCAATTACCTTTTGTATTAGAAGACAATTTCCTATAATACCAGCTTTTATTAATATAAATAAAAGCCAGGATCAAACATTTACCAAAAAAGTAGGGGAGATCAGGGCTAGTCGGCGCAATTTTTGTCAAAATCATCATAGCTCCAATATAATGATCGTATAAGATCTTACAAAATACCAGTCGATACCTTAAACATCTACCTATAAATATATACTTTTATATTTTTTAAATACTTAATAATTTTTCTCTAAAAAAGATATAGTAAAAATCATTTTTTGAACTTAGTAACCCCGACCCGCGGTTAGTCTGATCATCGATGGGGCTAGTCGAATCAAGTGGTTTATTAGGCTTCTTATTATTATTTAATTATATTAATGTATTGCTTTATTATATATATATATAGGCGGGTTTATACTTCCTTTATTAGAATATTTCGTATAGTTTATAAATAAAAATATAAGACGTTAAAAACCGATTATAATTTTAGAATAAAAATTATTTGTAAAAAAAATAATAATAATTGAAAACAAAAATAAAAAATAGTTATAAAAAAATTAATTTAAAAAAAAATGAATTCAAAAAAAAATGAATTGATAATTTACAATTTTCGCTTCCCTTTTATAGGGAAGCAATAATCATCACAAATAAATAATTAAATCCCATCATCATAATGACTTTACAATAATTCACTTTTATAAATCTAAAAATAAAATGTTAACGCGATTAAACAAAAACATAAAATTATAAAAATAACAATGACTCACCAATTTAACTAAAACATAAAATTATAAAAATAAAAATGACTCATCAAACACAATACATACTGACTTTACCAAAAATCAAATTTTACAAATCAGTCTCCCAATTATGACACTTTTGAGATAAAAAAATTTTTTTTCAGGTTTTAATATATATCTATGATGCTTTATTTATATAATATTTTACAATTATAACAAATAAAATAACAATTTTTTTTGGCAGAGGACCCATGCGCCCAACCTTTACATAATCTTCAAAATTATGAAAAAATCCTGTTTACATATAATACATTTAGTAATGTTTTTATTAATAAATTTACTCAAAATTTATCTAATTCTATATTTAAATATATTAACATCATTTAAAATTATAATTTGATAACTAAAATATTCATATTCAATAAAATGTATTAATTTGAATCATATTATGTTGTCAATTAAAATAGATGTATATATAAATATTTGAATGCTAGATCTAATTCATTTCAAATAATTGATATTATTATCAGGCTAAAATTTATATGCTAAAATGTTCATATCTAATAAAATGTATTAATCTATATTGAATTTTGCATATATATTTGGGTACCATAATAATATAATAAAAATTGATTGATTGCGCCCACTAGCCATGATTCTACTAACCTCAATGGTGGTAATATTACTATTTTGACCATAACATATATTTAATATATCAATCTGAAACTTTCCCGAATATTATAATAGATATTTAATTTTCATATAATGTCCATTTTGTCATGTTTAAACTTTTATTTTTAAATACAACCTAATAATATTAGGTGAAAATATTGTAATTTTTACGTCAAAAACAGATAAAAATTTAAATAGCTAAATATTATAAATCATTTTTATCCCCAAATATAGATATTATAGATTTCTATTTTAGAACAAAATTTCAACTTTTAATCGTTGCTGGTTTTGGTTTTAAAATAAAATCCTTTAACCGACAAGCCCATTGCGCCTACTAGCCCTGATCTTCCCTACCCCTGCGCATAATCAGGGTGAACCCCTAACATTTTTTATCAGGATATTCTTGCTTAAATATATTTTTTAAATCAAATTCCCTTTTTAGACTATTCCATATATTTTTCTTTTATATCAAAGCAACCATTATCTATGTATTTTTATTTGATTTCATATTTAGTATCGCTTATTTTTTAACTTATAAACATATTTTATATTGGATCTATATTAGATACCTAATAGATTTTTTACGTTTGTTTTTAATATTTAAAAATAAAATTTTGACTATCTCTTTTTCACTTCCATTAGTGATTTGACAACTTTTTTTACTTATCATCAATTTCATTATGATTCATCTTCTTTTAATATCACAACTAGAGGTTAGCGCGGGCCTAATTTTTTATCCACGACCCGCCCGCTCACAGTGGCAAAAAAATCACGCCGTTTCACGCTTGCTGCTAAAATTTTTTAACTCGACTCCGGGTCGAAAGAGATTATTTTGATCACGTTCAAAAATTTACGGTTTTAATTTTTTTTTATAAATTTCTCAAAACTTACTTTTACGCTTTTATTCTATTATATTTTTTATTTCTCTAATTCCATATTAATAACAAACAAAATTTTTTATTATAAAAGAATGTTTATATGTTTTTATTAAAATAAAAGAATGTTTATATGTTTTTATTTTAATTGTGTTCATCTTTCCTCTAATAAGCGATTGGTTATAGAAAAACAATACTGGAAGCCGTACTTACCCGGGCTAATAAAATTTCACTAGCAAATTTTCTCAAAAAAGGTAGATGAATTTTCTTGCTTCCAAAACTTCAAAATATTGTTATATGTTTTATGAACTTTAAGTTTATCCAACTTTCATCGGTAGATGTTGTCGTCTTATCAGAATCAAAATAATCTAGAAATTCTTTAAATTATTCATTTGGATTTTTTTTATGTGTGCAGAAGGAATTAGAAATAAAAATGTTAGTTGGGAATTTTAAATCATTTAGCATGTTTAAAGTTGTTATATATCTACCCTTTAATCGTCTCTTAAAAACTTATGACTTTTAAAATTTGGATTTAGAATTAAGTCTACTTTTCCCTTTAAAAGAGATATTGGCTTTTACTTGGGGTTTTGAGGTTGGAAAAATTTCATTAATTTTTGTTTCCATAAATAATTTTCATTTATATTTATAGTAGGATGAGAATCTGCACTCAAATTATCTGAACATTTTTGAATAGTGATAATATCGAACTAGAGTAAGATATTTATATTAATGGCCGCTAATCAATTTAATTCTTGTTTTAAGCAGGTAAACTTGTATTTCTTCATATGATTTTAGAAACTTTGTATCATGATGTATACAGAGTTCCATCTCTTTATTATATCTTGCTTAATGGAATGGCATAGTTTGCTGTTTGCTGCAGATAGCTTAAAATATTGCACTATCTATTTTACACCATTTATACCTAAGACTATTTAAGGTAAGTAATTATCAAAAATATAATGCATTATGTCATTTAATATATGGCATGAAAATGATAATCTTTCATCATCTTTGAATACACTTATATTTATTACATTTTAAACAGTATGTATAAGGCAATTGCATCAATTATCTTTTAGATTTGTAGGTAAATATGAGAAAATAAACAATAAGTTGTTAAGATATTTATTTAATATTCCTTTAATTTTGTCTAATTATAATTTGATATGATTAGTATATAAGATAAACGAAAAACATATTTAAATTTAATTTATTACCAAATTTCCATTGCTGAACTAGAGTTGAGAGATTTTAAATTATTTTTCATTCGATGAAATTTTATAAGACATAAGACAGGGGAAAAAAGTTATTGATTAAATGCCTAATTTTTTTAATTTTTAGAAATTTTTCCTTTTTCAAAAAGAATTAAATTATAAAATATATATTATAATTATAAAATTGCAAATTTAAATTCATAAAAAAATTAAAATTTCCGTGACTAACGGGAAATTTATGTTCACGCTCAATTACTCCTGGCAAAATTTTGGGAAGGCCCGTCACGCCTAATAATTGAATTTTTACTCTTATGCCGCCGTGACCCATCGTGTCACGCGTAATTTCACGGCCCGCGCCCACCTCTAATCACAACTATTTGTAATCCATCGCCATTTATGATTCACCACCATTTGTGATTCCCATCATTTCTGACCTATTTTTAATATAATTTACTTATTTAATATAATTATAATTAAAAAATCGATATTTTGGCCTTTTTTGGTTTTAAGACGGACGTGTTTTTTGAACACATTGTTAAGGAAGGACCCTATTTTCAAGGACGGACAAGGATCGGATTGTACCGACTCCGAACGCATCTTGATAGATTTTCACATAAAAGATAAAATTTAATTAATAACTTGCTTCTGCTTGTACCGATTCTTATGAGTTTGTTTGTATGCCAAAGGATTCAAACGAAACTGATATTATTATTTTTTATTTTCTCCTTTTACATATTATGAATGACTCTTATTTAAATATATTTTTATATTTCGATTTAGACAAAGCTTTCATTCACTCACCTAAATTTTAAGCCGAACCAGTTTAAGTCTTACTTACTGAACGAGGTTGGATTTTCTTACGTCAAGGCCTTTTATCCCCAAAAATCTTCTTCAAGTAAAAATGATTATTTAAAAAAAAAACTAGTGCATCGATTATTTTTTTAACTTATTTTCTGACTGATCCATTATATTAATTAAAGTTAAGAATATAAATAATTATTATATATTGTTATGGCTTTATTATTATCTTTTATTTACATAGTTGGATTCGAGAGGACTCTATACGTGTTCCTTAAAGCCGAAAAGGGGACGATTACAGAACATTTAGTCAAGGAATTAAATCTAGAGGGTGGTGAATATACCACAGCCTGATGAAATTAAAACGAATTGCTTATTTATAATATATTCCACTTATAAAGGGTGTAGTATATTTCATGATTCTTGTAATATTTATAATAGGTAAATAAATATATATTGCCTGCTGTAACTGTGATTTTACTTCTTTTTTAATATATGAAAAATATTAGTATTATATTTTTTTTTCTCCAAAAATTATTTAGCCAAAAAAAATTATATTATATTTTTAAATTTAAAATTTTTTTTTGAATATAAGGCGACAAAAATAAATAAATTTCAAGACTTTAATGCTGACGTGAAATAACAATATGTCTAGATGAGATAAAGTTATAACATATATGTATCTATATACAATATCTAGAAATAAGTTAATACGTAGTTTATAGTCATCTCCCTCTAGAGATTTAAATTATCCAATTAATTCTATGGCATCCGCTTTTGACTTTATCTTGGAATAAAGTGTGCTCAGATATAAATATTTTGATCTGCATACGTATACAATTTATGCCTGCTCCAAATTGATAGTAAAACATTAGATCTCAACTGGGTCCTAGTTGGCACTTGCTAGCAAAATTTATAAGTGCACACACCTATTGTGCAATGTTTTCTATGGTTCTATTTGTTGGCGCATTTTATTTATAACCTGGCCAGGTAAGGTCTTCCATCGGTTTTGAAGCCTAACCAATTTTATTCCTTCATAAGTTATAGAATTGCAATAGGTTGAAAATAAAGATATAAGACTTTCTTCTAGCTGATGCCTATGGACATTTGTAATCAGAGATAAGTCGACGGCAGCTCGTCTTTGTCTAGCTTAATCCATGCTATAGTAGATGTAGCCGGTATTTCAATGTTTAGAGCAGGGATGGGAACCTTAATCGAAACCCTCGATATTTCGCTGAATCCAAACTCGAACCCTTTTTTAAATTTTAGGATTGAGGGTTCAAGTTTTTTTTAAAAAAAAAATAATTTTTTTTATTTAAATTATGTTATAAAAATATAATATAAAAACATGTAATTTAGGATTTTCATTTATAAAATTCCTTTTTAAAAAGAGTTACTATTTAAAACAATTGTTTATTTATTCAAAAAAATATATTAATTTTAATAAAACATTTTTTTTTGATCATTTTTGTTATATTTAAGAGTTGGCCATCTTTAGTAAAAATTTTAAATTTTACCCAGGAAAGCAGATTTTAAAAGTTTTTTTATAAATGATGATAATATATAATGATATCTATTACAAACCATATTCCATAACATAAAACAAACCATATTTCATAACAAGACGATCCATATTTATTCATTAAATAAAACAACAATCTAAAATATATAATATGTAGAAAAAATTACAAATCATAATTATCTAATTATCTAATTCTTCATTTCCCAAAGGTCCATTATTAGTTCCTCGCTGACATCTTCTCGAATTAATCCAAACTCTTCATCCCAAAATGGATAACAAAAGAATCCTTCCCCATCAACCCATCATGTGTTCATCACCTCCTCTTCTTCCCCCAAGGAAAACTTAATTCCCCTGTCAGAAAATAACTGACATTTGATGTATTATATTAAATTTATTTCTTCTTTTTTTCAACAGTTACAACACGCCCACCCTTCACAAGCCCAGCGTCCCTCTCTTTGTGGTGGTGTTGTATCGAATCGCCCCTTTGAATTGTATCGAATCACCTCTTTGAATTGTATCGACTCGCCCATTATAATTGTATTGGGACGCCTTGAAGATGTTCAGGGAATTTATCGAATCAACTTCCCTTATAATGATTTATAATATAATAACTCCAGTACATTTCAATATAAAATCGCCAAAACAGACATTATCAATAATGACATGTACATTGGGGTATCTGCATTTATAATCTACGGAACATTAATATGGACAATGTAATATCCGCAAAACATAATAATTTATTCATTTTAAGACATTTGGGAACTACTAGCTATAATATACATTATTAGGGTATGATTCATGGTAATTAGGAAATAATGATTTTACATATAATAATGTAATGTGAAAACATTGTCTATGTGTGAAATGCAATTTCAACACATGTAATTTTCCTTCTATCATGTGAAAAAAAACAAAGCTACATCTTTATAAATATTTCCTAAAATGAATATAAAAATCCATCTTTAGGTATTAAAAATAATTGCGAAACTTGGCCGAACAAAGATTATAAATAAAATTACAATACATACGTATATAAATACATTTAATATTATATATGAAGGAACAAATATATAATATGTAGAAAATACAATATTTTCCATCTAGGAATTACTCAGTATCCTAAGAAAAATATACCATTTCTACCTAACTCTCATCACAATTAGCACAAATTCACAAAAATGTAGAATGCAAAGTAACAAAAATTGATAATATAATGGGCTATATGGTATATATGTAAAGAATTTTTAATATACCTTCACAATATAAAATAATTTGAGTCTTTTCTTTAAAAATATGTTCATAATTAAATAGTAAAATGTGATGTGTTATAAAATTATTAAAAAGATAAAAAAAAATGTATTATGCAGCATAAATTTACAAAAAAAAACTTTTCCCAGTATGCAAACTAAACAATATTTTCACCTCAAGGCATACCCCTCAACACGGGTTGACCTTATCTGTAAAAATATTTTCCCTTCACATCATTGCATACCACACAAATAATATAATAATTGCAAATAAAACTTATAAAAATTTATAATTTAAAAAAAAAATATATATTAAATATAAAGATTTCATAATTTGGAAAAAAAAAATATTATACACCATCTAATGTATCATATAAATTCCTATCCAATTTATATATACACTAAATGCAGACACTAAATCAAAATAACTATCCACATCTAACATTATAGATATTATTCTGACTTCATCATACTTCAATTCCTTCAAATTCTCATTCATAATTAAATATATCATATGTTACCTATACAATATATTAACATTATACATAATAATTCATAGTTAAATATATCATATGTTACCTATGCAATATATTAACATTCATTAATAATAAATTATTCCATACACATTCATCCCTTTACAAATCCCCAATGCATAATTAAATAATACACACTTTATTACAAAAGTCTATATCCATATATATTTTCATAAATTTCACATATTTAAATATTTAACAATCCTTTCTGTCCTGCTGATCATGAGGTCTAGCTTCCTATGGAGGAATACCTATAACACCATTCAATGAGTCTTAAGGCATATCAAATAATAATCAAAATTGGATGTACCATATACATCTAGACATAAGATAATATACCAAATATTACTGTCTTAAATTCCTGATCTTATTTCCATATTTCTGCCTAATACTCATTGCATACTTTCTATCTTACACCTTTTTAAGTTAAATATAAAAGTATAGAAATTTTTAAACTCAATCCTTAATATATAGTTTTTTTTAGTACTTGCGTTGTGATCTCACATTAATCCCTAGATAGATCCGATCCTGTCGACGGTAACAATTTTTAAGTGTATTCTGGATACCCATAGTTGATATTGAATTGTATTAAACGATAGAATAAGTATAACAAAATACTATTAAAATTATTCAAAATTTCTTTATTTCATAAAATTATATAATTATTATTTCTTCTTTTTTTTATAAATTTAACAAAAATTTTTCAATGAATTAATTTTACAAAAAATATATATTTTCAAAAAAATATATTATTATAATAATTATTATCTTTTTACATTACATAATAATAATTCTTTTTTACCAATCAGATGTCTACAATTCATCTGATTGACATTTGGAGCTTATCTATATATATATATATATATATCTATTTTTTTTACATACTAAGACAATATCTATTTTAGGATATTGTTGTTTGTGGATTATTAAATTATTAGTAAGACAAAAAGAAGTATAAAATCACGTGGTAAAATATTTTTAAAAATGTAAGTTGCAAATTATCAAATATAATTTAGATTAAAATAAATGCAGTTAAAAATAAAGTAAATTTAATAATAAAATATATATTTATTAGAATATGTCATATCTAAATTATAATTAAAATAAGGCAACATCTGTTAGCTATTTTGTAATTGCAATTTAGTTTAGATAGTTTTATTTAAATAATTTTAATAAATCAAATATTATATTATAATATATTAAATATAACATGAATTAAATTAAATAAGTGCAATAAAAAAATATATATAAATGATGGCTATTTATAGAGTAAATTTAATAATCAAATAATATTTCCTAGAATATGTGATATCTAAATTATAATTGAAATAAATCAAATATTATATTATAATATATTAAATATAACATGAATTAAATTAAATAAGTGCAATAAAAAAATATATATAAATGATGGCTATTTATAGAGTAAATTTAATAATCAAATAATATTTCCTAGAATATGTGATATTTAAATTATAATTGAAATATGGCAAAATCTGCTATCTTGTAACAAATTTAACTAGAAATTTTTATTTAAATTTAAATAATTTGTTAAAAATTAAATTTGTAGATGAAAATCAAATATCTATTAGCCGTTTCAAATTTAATGATAAGGGAGATTCTGAATGTAGAATATGTGATATAGTATTAGCAGGGAGAATAAGCAAGGAATCACTCGAAACAATTCGATTGTGCTTAAGTAAAAAAACGAAAATCATAGAAACTTCGACTAAAACCTCGATTACTACCAAATCTGATATAAAAGAATATATTATTAATAAAATTGAAAGGTATTGTACAAATAATTCTATTCATATTTCGATGTCAGAAGAAGATCTGACAAATGCTTTGGTTGAGATGGTGACCGTGAATGGCCGCCCTTTTTCACTAATTGAAAACTCAGGGTTTGAAAAAAAAACTTCACCCTATTATTAAAGTCTTGGGTGTGTCCACTACTCGTTATAAAATTAGAGACTTGATTACAGATGATTTAAAAAACTACTGAGAAAAATTAATGGAGAAACTAAATAAATTAGTTGTTTAAAAATTGATTCTGTCAAACGATTAGATAAGCATTCTGGGAATAAATATTCAGTATGTTCGGTGTAATATTATCAAATTAAGAAATTTGGCTATGAAAGAAATAGTAACAGGAGATAATATTAAATAAATGATTTTAGAGACTGAATAAATTTGGCATTCCATGAAACAACCTATAAACTCTATCAACCGATAATGGTGCAAATTTAATCAAGTCTAAAAATTTTTTAAATGAATCTGTAGAAGGGG